TGAAACTCAACCCAGAGATGATCTGCCAAGTCATTCCCTTGTGTCTCGGCTGGATCTGCCGGAGTGGAGTCCAGGTCCGATCGAAACTGAGCAACTTTGTCCGCCAAGAACTAAACATACTCCTCAGCCTTACCCTGTAAGGGGTCCCTCGTCTCCCTCCTATTTAGGAGGGAGCGGGTTATCCTAAACAGGGCGGCTGGGCGGGACTCGGCGGACGCTACCAAGGAGGCAATGTGTGTTCTTTTTGCCGATCTTAAAGCACGAGTATACCCCTTGGTGCAAGCAGTTACAAGTGCCCGGTTCAATTCGGACCTGTCTGATCTCCACAGGTCTCCATATATAGTCATTGTGCTTTTAACCCACCCATCCCAACCTAATTTTGGTTGAGATGTCGACCTGGTTACAGTTCCCAGCTATTCTCATCATTATCTTTATATAGTTATACACCAAGATCTTGGACGCACCAAGATTTTGAAGAGGCAAATAAAAAAAAAGTTTTTGCACTCTGAAAACCTCCCAAAAATGGCCCATTTTTTCACAAAAACTGGCCCGCTTTTAGTAAAAAAAAAAAAGGGGGGGGGCATGCAGAGCCTTTAGGAGGCTTATAGTGTGCTCCTGGGGACTGGAGCAAAAAAATGGCCCATTTTTTGTGAAAACGGGCCCATTTTTTGTCAAAAAAAGGCATGCATAGCCTTTAGGAAGCTTATAAAGTGCTCCTGGGGATTGGGGGTGGGGGAAACGAGCAAAAAATGGCCTGTTTTTCACTCATTTTTGACCTCCCCAGCCCCCAGGAGCACTCTATAAGCCTCCTAAAGGCTATACATGGCCATTTTTGCAAAGGGGACGGGTTTTGGGAGGCCAAAAATGCTGTATTCGGTGTATAAGACACACCCAGATTTTTACCCTCTTTTTTGAGGGAAAAAAGTCCATCTTATACTCCAAAAAATACGGTAATTTAACTAGAGTGTCAATTCCTTTTCCAACCCTTTCTCTCGCCCCCAACACCTAGGGTCGGAGAGGACGGGGTTCTATTTTCGTCTGGGCTTCTGGAAATGGTGGCCGAGAAGGGGACCATTGTTCCTGTGATGGATACACCAACAGCATCTACACCGTCTCTGTGAGCAGCACCACCGAGAATGGGAACAAGCCGTGGTATTTGGAGGAGTGCGCCTCTACCCTTGCCACAACATACAGCAGTGGGGCCTTTTACGAGCGGCAGATTGTAAGTAAACAGGGTGAAAACCAGTGGTGAAATCTTTTTTTTTTTTTGCCCACCAGCTCTGTGGGTGTGGCTTGGGGGGGTCATGTGACTGGGTGGGCATGGCCAACTTTTGTTCACTTTTTAAAGCATTTTTTTTCCCTACCACTTCGGGCGAATAGGTAGGGAAAATGCTTTTAAAAGTGTGAGTGGGGGGAAAGCTTCTGAGAATCGAGCAGCTCACAGCTGATCCACGCGATCGTCGGAAGCTTCCCCCCACCACACTTTTTAAAGCATTTTTTTCCTGCCTATTCGCCCGAACCGGCAGGAAAAAAATGCTTTAAAAAGCAGGAAAAAAAGCTTCTGCCAATCGCACGGCTCACAACTAAGCCGCGTGATCTTTGGAAGCTTTTTTTTTTACTACCGGTTTGCAGAGCAAGGGACAGTCGTCCCTAACAATTCAGCCAAACCGGGAGGATTTCACCCCTGGTGAAAACTTAGAAGCAGGATTTTGCTTGGCTTGGTTTGGCAAAGCCAGGCGGTCTCCTGCTTGTAAAGAATGAAACTTTGCATTGTTTATATGATGTTGCATGGACTCTCCAGTAATAGAAAAAACTTCTACCCATGGGCGTTGGGTAGATAATCCAGCCGGTGAATGACTATAGAAGCAATACAGAGCACTTTGATGAGTTAAATTGCATACCTGTCACAACCAAACATCCCTAGTAGCATTGCCTTTGCTGTGGGAAGCCCAAATTCAGTGAGAATATTTTACAGAAGATTATGGAGTCACCGCGCTTCCTAGACACCATAAATGCTTAAGGATAATTCATTTTTTTAATTAGGTCTGAGTTAGACAGCTCCTCTTGTTGACAGATAGATCACAGAGGAAAGGACTAGCTCCGATTTTTTATCTCAATGTTTTTTGCTCTACTATTACCAACCCTACTAAACCTTCTGATTGGAACAGGTTATAGCAGCTCAGATTATCTGATTTGCCTCATGTGTGGTTTTTTTTTTTTTTAAAAAAAAGAATGAATGACCTACTGTTGGAAGCCAAAGAGCCGTTGGTATCTCCTTGATCCTGGCCATTTATGGTTGCACAAAATCCAGGCTACGCAATGTGATTTGGATGTCGTTTCTCCCTGATAGTTGCATTAGCTTTCTTCTTAGATGACCACGGATCTGAAGAAACATTGCACAGATGGCCACACGGGGACTTCCGTTTCTGCCCCCATGGTAGCTGGGATCATCGCTCTAGCTTTGGAAGCCAAGTAAGGATTCAATTCACCCTCTTGGGTAGACATGATTTGTTAAAGGGAGAAAAGGAGCCAAGGTGGCACAGTGGTTAAATGCAGCACTGCAGGCTACTTCAGCTGATTGCAGTTCTGCAGTTCGGCTGTTCAAATCTCACCGGCTCAGGGTTGACTCAGCCTTCCATTCTTCCGAGGTGGGTATACCTGGAATTGGACAGCTATATAAATTTTCTTAACTAAATACATTA